TATCTTTGGCCACGTATGATAGCTATGAATGAACAAAGAAAGAGAAATGTTAAAGTCAAACAGTTTATTACAATCAGACACAATCATTTAATCAGGAGTTTCGTGTGGCTCATAACAGGACCCTGATCTTTTGCTCATAGATAACGACGCAACTGTTCGAAGAAATCATCCATAGGTACTCCACTGTAGTACTTCCTAGCATTATCGACCGATTTAGTATTTCAGAAAGGTTTTGAATGATTGAAAACACATAGATGGTGAGTCTTTGTATCTCTATCGCCAATGATCTCTCATCAGTGCAGTTCATAAATGGCATAAATACATGGATCTAATATTTATCATAATAATACATAGAGAAAGATGAAAAAAAATCTAGCGAAGATCATTAGGGTGTGGGTATGGGTGTGTGGTGTAAGTGTGGCTGTGAGTGTGTGGGTGACTTGTGGATGTGAATGGCGGTAGGTCTTCTGTTCAGCCAGACCTACCATTCCCGAATGACACTGACATTATCCACATCTACATTTACAGTGTGACCCATCGAAGTTCGGATATGTGACGAACTCTCCAAATCGAACCTCTATATCCCTACATCGAGCGGTCGCAGCTCTGTTAGCTGTGACATGTATTACAAATGCCACATAGTAGATTACTGTACCAAATCTTCCAAGCGATGTCTGCAGCGAAAAGACCAATGGATCGCCCACGTACAATCTGGCGGAAATATATCGAGCATCTATGTCAAGAATGTTTAAGACTTCGATGGATCGATGTGATTACTGTGGCACAAGACGGAAGCCATTGGAAAATGCTACTGAACGAATTTAAATCCCGATCTAAAAGAAATAATGGACAGAAAATGAATGAAAAATGATTGATATTATATGTTAGCCATGTATTAATTGCAATATTAAAATCATAATTCATTGTTATACAAGAAAAATTTTATTTTATTATTTTAACCCTTTGGGAGCGGGAGTTTTTTGGAAAAATAAAATTTCTCTTTTTCCGTGTATTTCGTCATAACTCAATCTGGATTTTTATTTTATAAAAATTTTTTTATAAAAATGCGTCTTTAGAAATTTTTCAAAGTGTGATACAGTTGAAAACAAGGTACAATACATAAGCCAACATTACCTTAAACACACTCATATCTTGTTTTAGTATTTTTTTTTTGGATCTATTATTCTATTATAACAGACATGCCAGCTTCACCTATTTGTTCGTTCAGATGTACCTTCAGCTGTATAGTCTTGAATTAGTAAAGGAAAGTACCGTACAGTAAGTCTCATTGGATTTTCCAAAGGTGTTCTTCCCTTCTTTTCGCTTTTTTGTCTTCCAATAGATTCGATAATAGATCGAATCACGTCTAATTGAAAGTCCAACAGATGCGTTGTTTTTCCGGCCTTGAGCTTGTATAAAATGAACGCATTATATAAAGTGATATCAACCAGATAAAAAAAAAAACTTTTTATACCACTTTATATTTTTTCGTATACATTCTGAAAAACTGATCTGCATATTCGATTTGTCTATAGCTTCCATGTTTTCATTATAATCTTTGATACAAATTGACTTCACTATAAGATTTGAGGTAACATGATTGATTTTGCCTATGGGTGCCATGGTTGGTTCCTGAATAGTTGAAAGCATATGAATATCACGTCGATCTTTCCATTTCAATGCGAGAAGTATATCTGTGTGTCTAAATACTTGTTGGTATTGTGCCAATTTGATTGCTTGTAAATTAGTTAAATGTATTCGATCCAATCTTACAGTACCACATGCTCTAATCTACATAGAATGTAAAGTTTCAAATAGAATAGGAGAAGAATACCAGTTGTCAACATATAAATTGTGACCTTTCTGTAAATATTTCTCCATTAGCTTCATAACAAGAGATCCAGATGTATCTAACTTCTTGTCACGATGAATTAATGTAGTAGATTCAGTGTAAGCAATAAAGTCCAATATGAAACCGGTACGACAATCACACAAAACATACACTTTGACACCAAATCTGTTCCGTTTTGAAGGAATATATTGTTTGAAACTTAGCCTACCCTTCCATAACATAAGGTTCTCATTGATTACCAAATTCTGGTATGGATTGAGATAAAGATGAACTTTTGTCTTCATATCATCAAGAAAAAGCGTTATTTTGAACAATCTATGTTCACCTGTATAGTTTTTATTGTTATTGAAATGTATAGATCTAAGCAAAGTTAGATATCTGTCTCTTGAAAAGATCTGACTGAATACAGGAGTCGATATTAATTCATCGATGGACCAGTAATCTTTTAAATTATATTTTTTTACATCAGTTATCAGCATTGTTGTAGCCAAAAAGACATACATTTAATCAATGTTTGTATCTATCCAAGAAGCAGCATGGGATAATATACTTTTAAAATTTTGAGGAGTGTCCGAGGACTGAGGAATAGAAATTCCTACTCAGTTCCCTGACATTTCCTTGAATGCTAAAATTAAAAAAATACAATATCCACGGTATTTATTACTCTTACACTCGTTTTCATCAAGAAAATTGTGCACATGAACGTATGAGTACGAAAATTATTGCAAAAAAAGCATTATCCTGACTTTCATGAATGAGGGAACTGTGATGGAAATAATGGTCAATTCCCATTTCCCCAAGGAATTATCGTAGCTACACTAACAATTCCTCTACAAATTAGGAATTCCTATTTCTCAGTCCTTGGACACTGCTGATTTTACATTTTAGATTCTGTACTTGCTTGAGTGAGTCCGATGTATTCCTACACCACTTGACGCAATATAATAAAGAACAAGAAAGAATAGGAGAGAGAGAGAGAGAGAATGAAACGAAACCGGCTAGAGAACTAGCGCACTAGTGAATGTACTAGTGAACAAGAAAAGAATGGCACGGATACATACATATATATACAAGCATGTTGGAAAATACCAAGTATGACATAAACGAATATTTTGGGATAAGTCTAATATAAAACATATGATAACACATTGGGAAAAAGCACAACATGTCATATTGAAAAAATCCAGTAAGTGACACATGGATATTTCCAACACTTTCAAATATCTCAGAACTCTCTACTTGAACATGTATCAAACCAATTTACTTTATCCTTATAGAGACAGGAACGTTTCTTGCAAAGATTTTAGACTTTAGCAAAATTTTCCCTAAAAATCAACTGTGTTGTATTTATTATCCACTATTGATTATCAGAAAAAATAATCTAATTATAACCCAAATTATACGAAAAAAGTCTCTGATAAATGCTTTCATGAAAATAGATATTACATAGGAATCTATGTGTTTCAAAATACTAGACAAACATTGTAACCTCATGCGGGATCACTTGTTCCCAAAAGGTTAAGATGAGAACAACAAATTTATGGAATTATATTCAGAGTGAAACAAGATCAAATGACTATTCAATCGAATTTTCCTACTCTATAATCTTATACATCATTCCTAATTATAGATGTGACAAGTGTTACGTTGATGCATCCATCTCCAGATGATACACAATCATCAAATGCTATTATAATCCAAAATAGAAAATTCATGTATGACAACTATGAATACTAAGAAATCAAGTAAGATATATCTCTAAATAGTGTCTTACGAGTATTTTATTCTTACCTTCTATCCAAATGCTCTTTTTGACTCATTTATCAGTTTCTCCAAGTATTTCTAATGTATATATCACTTAAACTATTGTTTTAGATAGAGGGACTTCAAATCTATAGTTTAAGATACAATGAAAACTGGTTCTCGTATTACATTCTAACGTTGAGCAACGTGAATCATGCGTTTACATACGCAAATAATAGGAATTTTTGCTAATTTTTTACTAAGTTTTCTCACTTTTTATCATAATAGTTTGACACTTTGATGGAAATGTAATGAAAAGTGAGGAAACACGTTATATCTTGAACTATAAATTTCAGATCCCTCCATCTAAATGAAAGGTCAAAATCAAAATTTCATCGAGATGGTAGGCCATTTTCATGCTTTCTTTTACATGTTTCTCGAAAATAATTAGTTTTAAAAGTATTTCCTCTTATGCATTATTGGGAAAAAAGATGTTCCCCGATCTCCTCTTTCGACTGGTGAAAATTGCAGATCTCTAGCTACTTGCGTTCTCGAGTTATTCAAAAAACAGTGAAAGACATTATATTTTGAAATGGACAATAGATACTGGATTCCTATTTCGAAGTTCTTATCATTTTTTCGAGCTTTTCGACCAAAAACAGCTCATATTTCTTGATCTGAACATCTGTGATTGTTTATAAAATATATTAAGTTCTCTTCAAACCATATCAATGACTTCTGATGTTTATGTAGCTTGATATTGTCTCGTTGATAGATACAATTATGGTCTAGGAATTGTTAACCAACAGATTCCGCATACAGAAGAATGGCTTACTCTCAAAAGAGATATCATTTTTGTAGAGATTAAGTATAAAAAATTAACATATATATATTTCCAAAAAGAGTTTGACATTATATTTACTTGTTGATTTCTTGCTGTAATCTATTCGAATTATGATTTTATGTGTTGTAATTTAATATCAAGCATTATTTTGACATATGCACCATTATTTAAGTTATCTTCTTCTCCCCGTCTGTCAGGATGTAGGTGAAAAGAAGACACATCTCTCACATCGATGCACCCTCTCTCTCTCTCCCTCTTTGATAAAGTAAAATATACAACCATTTATGTTCATTAAAAACCTTCAACACTGAAAGCAAAAGAAAATTTTCTTAACAAACTTTGATTTATTTAGTTATAATATTTATTAATAAATAGAATAGAATAGAATAATCGAACTCTTTTGACAGTCAAAAAAACAACTAAACGTTAATGTTATTAAAGACATCCATATTCTTTTCTCTATTCAATACTCTTCTTATCTTATTTGACACAACTTATTGACAACCTTTGAAGAAAGTATTAGTTTACTTAACTAAGCCAACTATTGATAGAAAAATAAAATTATTTCAGTTTTGATATCACACGTTGAATGTCTTTAGCAATTTCAACTACATTTGAATGTTGAGCGGACAATGATTGACGATAGATACTCTCTGCTTTTTTATAATATTCTAATGCTTCTTTCAAATTATTCATTGTCTCATATAATAGACCAATGCTTTTATAACTTGAACCAATGTCTTGATGTTGAGGAGGTAATGATTTCATTCTAATATCGAACGACGTTTTATACTTGTTCATGGCAAGCTGATACTTGCCAACACTACGATAAACATCACCTATGCCAGTATGATTTATAGCCATATCTGGATGATTTGAAGGTAAATGCTCCTGTTGAATAGCCAATGAACGTTGATAATAGTCCAATGCATCTGAATATTGCTTTTGAGCATAACAAATACGAGCAATACCATGATACAAAGAAGCTACATATGGATGATTTGTAGCATTCGCGCACTTGTAGTAATCCATTGCTGTATTATAACATTTTATTGCCTCATTATAACCATTCTTTTCCATATGAATATTCCCAATACAACAGTATAGACCACCAATGTAGACAAAATCAGATGGTTCCGTACGAATTTTTCTATCCAACGCTCTCTGAAACCATTGTAGACTACGATCATAATCCTTTCTTTCTTTATATAGCATACCAAATGAGAAACATAAATGAGAAAATGATGTATCATCAGGAGAATACGTTTTGCGTAGATCGGAATATATTTTCTCTGCCGAATCATATTTTCCCATATGTTGCAGTACATCACCGAAAGATTGAAGATTAGTTTCATTCTCACCACCTCCATAATCTGCCTTCAATTGATTGAAAAGCTTCTTCAAAGCATGATTATCATCTTCTGCTAATTGCATTTTAATTATCCAGATTTGTTCATTATCAT